CCAAACCCTCCTGTCTCCTCTGCTGAAGGGACAGTTTGCCCAGGATGTGTGCAGATGTGCTTGGCGCTGTTGTCTCATAGGCGTAAGGACAGGCTGTTCCCTGAGAACAGGGGTTCCTCCCATTCTGCTGCCTCACACACACTGCCTGCTGTGTTCCCATCTGCCACCCAGCTTTTGCAGGGAGGGGAAGTCCTAATGTGTTATCAGGGGGCAAGGAAGTCTGCAGGGACATGCATGGAGTAGTTAGATTCTTACTTCTTTTTTTTTTTTTTTTAAAAAGTTTGTTGAAAGAACAAATGCAATGTCCCAAAAAGCAATTAAAAAAACCCCCAAAACTAAACAAACAGGAAATGCCTGGGCTGGGTTGCCCACCTTGGCACTTTCAGCAGTCTGGTTTGGATTTCAGGGGTGAATTTCCTGAGCAAGGCAATAGTCGGGGGTCACTGAGGACAAGACTTTCCTCCCCACTAGCACCAACTGGATCAGGATGTAACGCTGAGCATATGGTGGAGGAGAGTAGGGTGCAGCTGTACTTGATGCAGCATGGCTGCACCAGTCTGCTTTACGTTCAGTGGCAAATTTATCAGGGAGATTGAGGGCTGCATGAACTTTGCAAATTCAACAGAAAGCTCTGGAGCATCAAAATTGGCTGAGAATGGCAGGCAGGACATCTTTCAGAATAAAAAGCAAACTGTGATCACAAAACTGCTGCCTTTCACCATTGTTCGTTAATGTGTTAATGGGCATTTCTGATTCTGTGTAAGCTAATTCACAAATTACATCAAGTTGGGTGAGAGTTTGCCTGTAGTAGGATTTTATAGCCCCAAGTGCTGGCTGTTGAAAGTTCATTATCTCTAATCTGAAGAAGAGCTTGAAAGGCCAGCCCTTTCCATTCATCTAATTCATTGACATTAAGTACAGTGTACTTCTCCAACTGATGTTGTTATACTGCGGTAACTATAATGGAACGAAGTGAGTGCAGTTTTGGACATCTCTATTTATACATTAATGTTGTACAGGTTTTATAAAATTCCATAATCTTAATTTTAAATAAATTCAAAAATATCAGTTTACCAGATGCAGAAATCAGCATAACTGGTATAAATCTGGAAAACTTAGGTATATATTTTCTTCCAAGGAAAGCCCACAAATCATGTAAGATGGTACAAACAATAACATTTCTACTGAACAGTTGGGGAGAAAAAGAAAGATTTTACAAAATAAAGGCCATCTAAAGTTTAGTCTTGACATAAACACTCAAGTGTCAGGGCAATCTAGCTCCTAAACTAGACCTTTCCTCAGGAAATACCTTTCATCCTCACAAGCCTATAAATTAAGATACCTAACTACCTACTACTGTTTAACATAAAACAACTGAAACATTTTACATTAATTGGGAGTTCAAGTGATAGCTTGAAAGAAAGTGTGTTGTTTTTAGGTAAACAGTATCCTCAATTGTTAAGCTGTATCTGCATGGTAAAATAATGGCTTGTCTTCAGCTTGGAGAAGGCAGGTCCCTCCTAGCTGTGTTCTGGGTTAGCACACAGCCTGGCTACCAGGCAGAGGGCAGTGGGCTAGCCCCAGTAAGGAACGGGCATGGTCAGGGTCGGGCTTCTTCGCTGCTCCCTGGCAGGCTCTTTTAGAAGGTGTCTCTGGGCTTACAGTGGATATTTGCTGATATTGTTCGGCAGGTTGAATGGAACTCTTGCAATCTTGGCCCATCATCCTTTCTTAAATGAGTGGTTTTCAGTGAATGTGGTCACTGATGGATTTGCAGCTTTTGATAAGATTTGTGGATGTGTTGCTAATTACAGGCTCCAGCAGAGGCTTTTCTCACAGGTGGGGCGTTCAGAGCAGCTCTCTCCAGTGGGAAGGCTCTTAGTTTCTCATAGGTGTGTCACCCTTTGTCATCCCCGTGGTCCAGGTGCCACCAGTCACAGTCCTCCAAGCAGCTGCCTGCTGTCATCAGTTACACAGCTGGAACAGCTGGGGGTGCCCCGACATGGAAGGGTGCCTGACGGGACCAGGGGAGCTTACCTATGCAGAGCCTCACTCAGGAGGTTGGGTTTTCTTGGTGTATATAAAAACTATAAAGTATTTATCGCCTCTCGTTATGGGGGACTTTGCTACTCCTCTGTTACATTTGACTGAAATTGTCCAGGAGATTGAGCAGTCGCGGAAAAAGAAGGGGAATGCATGTGCACACACACAAGTCTCATTTCTTAAGAGAAACCCTCCCTCCCATCCAAACCACCTTAATTAACAGAGAAGTTTTCTTAAAGAGAACACAGTTGTTTTGGCTGACTGCTTTGGATATAATCTTTGAAATGACTGACTATGTTAAATCATGATAATTAGGTCTGACCATTAACCTCCCACAGAGCTGATTACAGGGATAGGGGCGATGAGGAAGTTTTTTATTTTTCTTAGTGCTATTGTTTCGGTCTGTTTGCAGTGTAAACACAATGAGTGTGTCGGCTGATTATGCTGCAGACCATCTCTTAAGCCAGAGGAGATGGATATTTAGTTTTTAAACATGAAAACCTGGGGTTTAGAGAAAATGTGCTCCTGGGAGGTGGTGTGGGAGGCTCTAGGTCTATGCACCTGTGCCTTTGCAGCCATTACAACTGTTTACTTACTGAGTGGCTGTTCCTAGAGCATTTATCCCCTTTACTGTAGCTCCTCTGAGGGACAGCACTCTCTTCATTCCTTTAAGATTGTCTTGACTAAGTTATAGCAGCAAAGGTTGACTCCTCCCCTCCAGCATTTCTGCAGACAAACACAGTCCAGCTCTTAAAATGTGTGTTTTTAAAGGGCATCTCACAGTCCGCCTGTAGGGCTCATAAATCAGTTATGACTATCACATGGCTGTGAATGCTCTCAGTAACAAAATGCAGTTATTGATTGTAAGGGAAGATTGCTACAGGAAAGAGAGCGAGCAGTGTTTTGTGTGTTGCAATGGGCAGGTGCTCATGTGGTGAAACAGCCTGGGTTTAGCTGAAGGGGAGCTTTGTTGAGGAAAGGAGAATCCTTGCCTGGAATAATTGCCTCTGAGCCAGGGAGAATTGGCTACTCCAGAATGGGAACAGGCCCTTAGCTACCTCTGGCACAAACAGCAGAGCTGTTGCAAATCTGATTTGAGTCGCTAACAATAAGGTATTGAAAAGGCAAGCAGACCTAGCAGTTCTCTCTGTCTTTCCTTGGGCACCTAATTTCTGCTTCAGCTTCACTTGCTGAAGCAAACCTGTAACAGCACAAATGTATATGTGGAAAGAAGAATGACAGAAGTCTTCTAAAGAGACAGGAAAAGGCCAGGCAGAAAGGCCTTCAGAAATGAAAGGAAGCTTCTAAAAATCCAGATACTTTAGATGAAAGGAAAATATAATCTGAACTGTAATTGCTGGCTGTATTTTGTGATACGATGCTGCGAAATGTTCTTTTCCCCCACAGAGCTCATAAAACTGTTCTGTGTACCAGATGGATTATTTTATTTTTCATTAAATAAAGAAACTTGTAAACAGTGCTCTGTACCATAGAGATGGTAATCTCCACCACCCCGCTCCTCTTCCTTAAACACCGGAGCATGCACGGAGCATGCACTTTGCCAGTTGCGTTCAGGCAGCGGCAGAGCCCCGGCCTGCTGGTCAGTGGGGCTTGGGGGCCAGGCAAGACACGTTCCCCGCGTCCAACAGCATTTACTGTGTGGGTTCAGTTGTGCTTTTATCAAATGCTATTTCTGAAGTCAAATAAAAGGCCTGGTTGCACTGTGTTTGAATGCCGCTCTCTGTGCAACAGGGGCAGTTGATTGGGTTAGGTCTGTGGAGCTGGCACTGTTGCAGGTAGAGGAGAGCAAAAAGATGAGACTAAACGATGAACAGTTTTTATGTAGAAGATATCAAGGTATGTTTTATGAAGTTCACCAGGAATAACTGCTAGTTTTGCCAGTTTAGTTAGTATATTCAACTATTCCACCATCTTTGCAGCTTTCAGATTTTTAAGGTGCAATGTGTTAAAAGTTTCATCGTGATCCATGTAACTTGAGCCACAATTCTTGTCAGTGCTCTTGCAACATGCACTAGGCAGCACACTCCTCTCCACTATTTTCCTCCATAGTTTGTTTGCCTACTGTCTTGTGTAATAGGAATGCAACTTTTTTTTTTTTTTTTTGGTGTAGCTCTTTTATCCATAAGTTTATTGAACATTTTACAAAAGCAGGTACTATTATCTTCATTTACGTTTCCATTATACTGGAAATTTTAGCCATAGCTATGGTGCAGCAGCTTCTCGTGATATACTGGTCAGTTTGTACCACTTTCAGGCTGGAGAAAACTGCTCTGCTGCAAATCCCACTTACTAATGGTCTTCTGTGTATTGCTGTGGGTCTATAACTAGATGTGGTGAGTAATAAAGTGTAAATTGAGATCAAATATGTTGGCGACTTCTGCTTCATCCACTGGACCCATAGCTTGTGTCCTGTTACAGAAAACCTCTCTGAAAGTATGGACAAATTGCATTCCAAAAGCAGAAAATAGCTCAGTTATAAGGTGTACCCAGTTATTAAATACTGAACTATACTTGGTTTAGGTGAACACTACATTAGTATTAGATACTTTTTCTTGGTTTTCATTCATGATGTCTTATTATAACTGATTTCAGTTAAATGTATTATTCCCTAATCAAGTGTCCATCTAGCAAAAATCCTGTGCAAAATGTTCTTGTATTGTTACTTCCTTTTTTTCCAAATAGTTTTAAAATATTTTGACAGCTCTATCTATATTAGTAAACATACGTTCAATTATTATCACAAAAGCTATACACATTCATTTTTTTTTTTTTGTACTGAAGATACCTAATAGTGATAAATATGTCACCAAGTTTAATAGAGATGCTTGCTTTATGTAATCATATCGCTTTCATTGAGCTATGTGATGTTCTTTAACATGCCTTGTGAATAAAGTAATCCCTTCTGGATCACCATTTTATTCTTCCTGTCTATGCAGTAACAAGCGACTTGTGGCCTTAGTGCCAAATGACACTTCATTCAACACCAGACGAGCCTACACCAGTGAAGATGAAGCCTGGAAGTCGTATTTGGAGAATCCCCTAACAGCAGCTACCAAGGCTATGATGAGCATAAATGGTGATGAGGACAGTGCTGCTGCTCTTGGCCTATTGTATGACTATTATAAAGTAGGTAACTCCATCGTTATTTCCCCCTGCTGCACTAGCGGAGGACTGCTCTAAGAGGCATCAAAAGAGCCAGTTTTAAAAGACAGAAGTCATTGCACCTTGTTTTCTCTCTGATACTTGCATCAAGCACCCTTTCTGTTTTAGGAAGCCTGTCTGAGGCTGTTTTGATGTGTTTAGTTCTGGAGAGGAAAAACAAAATCAGAATTCCTGGATTAAATTTGCAAGCATGAATTCTTTTTGAGCATAGCATTCTTCCTCTTCCCTTGCAAGAGCATTGGATGAATCAGTCCCCTTTGTATTTGTGCTCGGATACTTGCAGTATTCTTTAAAATGTGGAAAAGGGGAGGCCTTATCCATCTGTAAGTTGGTCTGCTTTTCTGGTTCATTCCACACATGTTTTAGTTTGCTCTTTAACTGGAGTATCTCTCATCTGACAGTTTCCCATGTTATTTTTATTTGTATAGTGATTGCAGTAGGCTGTATACAAACATACAGTGAGGTCTAGCCCTTGCACTGGAAGTTGGCAGTCTAAATAGAAGGGTGGAGGACAGAAGTGGAGCTGGACACACAGAGATCTAAGTCAGTTTATGGGGGAAGCACTGACACACAGTTTCAGTTTATGTCAGGTTCTAAGCCCAGGGCTTCACTTACCATTTTGATACCAACTTTCTTTTTCATATACTTCTCAGTGTTTAAGTAGAGCTACATTTGAGATTTTTGCAGAAATCAGAGAGTCATTACAGGGTGCATCTCTCTATAATCCAGAAATTTCACTTGGAAACCCAGGCTGACCCCTCTGTACTCTGCAAATGGACTCAGTGTTGCCTGCCAAGCACTAAAGTATGAAATTGTTCATTTCAGTTGAACTACCTCAGTACTCCTGAAGCCACCTATGCCTGCATTGGACAGATGATCTTCTGAAAGCCAGCAGAACATGCCAGCTCCCCTCATAATTCATTAAGAAGTATCAGGAATGGAAATTTAAAATTTAAACCCTTTGCTTTTAGTATTTATTAGTATAAATACTATTAGAGAATGGGCTGCTCATTCTGGTCTCTGCTACAGTCATTAGAAGAGTGTTCCTGGAAAGGGGTTGTAGGCAAGATGCCATATACAAACCTTATGGTTAAATACTGTTTTAATTTCTTTACTGGTTGTATAGCAAGACATGTTCCTTGCTTTTGTGTTGTGTTGTCAGTAGAAAAAAAATAATTTCCCAATGAGAAGGAAGAAAGGTCCTTTTCTCTAGTTGACAGATTTACCACAGAGCCAGAATCTTTGAAGTTAATGGAGTTTTGTAGAATTCAGGATGTGTATGAGCATCTGTAGTGTTGGCTTCTGTTTTAGTAATACCTTTGTATGTAGCAGTTAATTAATTGGATGTATTTTTAAAATAAAACCAGAGAATAGCCCTTTTCCTTCTCAAAACTATGTTCTAAGAAACATGTCTGTTCTTTATTCCAGGCAATTGCAAAAGACTTGGGGCTCAGATGGAATAAACTATGTTAATCTCAAAGCCATTTCCAGCATTCAATCATAACTATTTCTGTCTTAAATTGGGAGAAAAGTGTAGCTCTTGTTGATGCTCTCAGAGGAACTTAAAACCGAATTTAAATCTCTGTGCTATAATGTGGAAGTATAGTGGAGGACTTCCAGTGCACCACACTCTTGAATTATACTTATTTATCATCTGGCTCATTTGTTCTGACATGCTGGGTAATTTTTTTGAAGTACTTTTTCCAGTCAATAAGAAGTATTTGAACTTAACTGTTTGGTTTGTTGGTTTGTTGTTTTTTTTGTTTTTGTTTTTTTTTTTTTTTTTTTTCTTGTAGTGATATTTACCTAAACATAGACCCTCCTTCAGAGATAAATATATGATCTAAACAGGGGAATCAACATGTGCAAGCTGTGGCATGGATCCCACATCTAAAGTATATGAAAGAGGTTTTTTAACCAGCAGGATGCTTCATAGGGAGAGAGGATGTCCCTAACTGAAGGAAAGGCTCTGTCTAGCACTCTCTGAATCTGCTGCTGACTTGCAGATAGAGCTGATGTTAACCTTGGCTACTGTAGTGCACTGTAGTATTGTTTTTCCTTTAAATTCAGATATTTTCCTGATAGTTCTTTAAAGTATTTAAAGAGAAAAGGCACAGCTTTAGCCCATTCTTAGGTTTATTCTTGCTCTTCAATCTTGAGTTAACTGCTGTGATGGAGTGGATATACCTTCTTTTGTAAAAGACAGATTAGAAGTTTTAGCTCCCAAACTGCTGGTTCAGCAAGAAAAGAAAGATACGGTCATGGCAGCAACTTTGCCCTTGGTGATTTCGTATCTGTGCTGGTGTCAGGAAACCAGTATGTGGGAAGACAAATCTTTTAAGTCACTTGATGTCAATTCTGTGTCTGTTGAGGGGCCAGATTTGACTGGATTTTTACTTCTCATGGCTGTTGATGCACTCAGCAAAGCAGAAGTCAGTGTTTTCTGATGACATGCCAGCATGCCCCGACCTGTCCCCATGCTAGGAAATGGAAGGATCCACAGAATTCTAGGTACTAGTGCTGCACCCTCCAGACTGCTCTATAACAGAAGGATTTAGCTGGCACTTGTGGTTTAATTGAAAACCCTTTTTCCTCTAAGCTAAAAGGGTTTCCACGCAGAGCTCATCAAAGCATCATGTCTTCTTTCTCATCTTTTATTATTGAGTGAAAAGTGTGTGTGTGTTTGGGAATATAAGCTTTGATTTTGAGATAGCTTGACCTAGCTTGATATTCCAAAGATAAGGACATATAGAAGAGAGCTTTGCTCCAAACTGGTGTGCCCAAGGACTAGAAAAGAAAATAATCCCTACATTTTTTCCCTTTGGAAATCATCTTTCTGTTCACAATCAGTCTCCCGAAGAGAAACAGTTCCTGGCATCTGTAAACTAGACAACACTGATATGGTTACATTTTTCTAGTTGTTGCAGTAGAGCAGTCTGAAGCTGCAAATACCTGACAGTTGCATTTACCTGACCCCATGCCTGGTGTTGTTCTCAGGTTCCCAGAGATAAAAGGCTGTTGTCTGTTAACAAAGTGAGTGATAATCAAGAAGACCAAGATAAAAGGTACAGTATTATTCAAAATCATACACCCAGCTACTAACAGTGTTGATCAGTTGTGAACTGAAGGAACTATGATAGCCTGAGGGTTTATGGGTTTCTTCCAACAGATAAAAGAATGAAGACTGTTTTGGGAAGCAAACTTTATTCCTTTTTACTTTTAAATTATTGGAAAAATTGAACAGTATTATTAAACATGCAGTTTGCACAGTAGCAGGAGGTTTCATTATTTGTGTTACGTTTTGTTGTTTTGCTGCTGCTAAGATTATTAAAATCATATTATATTGACTATTGGCTGCTTTTCTTTCAGTTTCCTTCTATAGCAAGAAGTGAGTAGTTTGGCCTCAGTAACCTGATTTATACAGTACATAACAGGGTCTGCCCAGAAGCACATAACTCCCTTGAAGTCATTCGCTCAAAATGTTTTTCTCGTTCCTCTCAGATTTCAGCCTTCCTCTGTAGGCTAAAAGTGACTTGAAGAGACAGAGGAAGCTGACTCCTGCCTTTATTAAGACTTGTGGACAAGAGAGTGTGGATATTTATGTAGAAAGAGTGGAAAGTTTTTCCATATGGGAAAGTATCTTCATGTAAAAACAAAGTGAAGAGAAGCTACACACAGTTTATTTCAATGTAGCTAATTTGGGACAGCCTTAGATAGTCTCCACTAGCTGGGTAAGGTGAAAATTTAAAGGGGTAGTAGTACAAATTCACTGTTTCAAAACAGAAAATAAAACTATTTTTGAGGGACAATTTTTTCTGCGAACACCAGAGAAATTCCTAAATTGAGTGAGATTGACAAAAGTGGCCTTCAGTGGAAAGGCAAGAGAGAGGAACCGTAATGTCAGAACGTATCTCCTGGGTTGAAAACAAAGCAGTGTGCTACACCTACTAAAAGTTTTATGAGTTAGCAATTTTATGTCAGTGCAACTACTATCAGCAATCAGATTGCTTTCAACAGCAGCTGCGGGTAGATGTGGGAATGCTGCTGGAGGTTACCTTGCAGCTGCTATAGTTACTGATGTACTCTGATACAATGGGATTCCAGGGTTTGCTCTTTCAGAAGAGCATTGGTACCAGAGTTACACAAACAATAGTGGCATGTCAACAGCCTGAAAGAGCATGCTTCAGCGTTTGAATTTTGCTGTTGATATTCTGCCTATTCCACATACAAATTATTTACTGTGAGTAATCCATACCGTACCTTACTCTTTATGCTTATTTTGTGCCTAAAGGGTATTGTACTGATAGGCTGATTTTTGCATCCAAATTATAAGTCAAGGCAAAAGCAACTCCAGACACCCAGAATTTATTGTAACAAGTCATACTGATTATAGGTCAAGTCAAATGTATTATGTTTCCCTAGCTGCTAAAGAGCTCTGGACCTCTCTGCTTGCCTCACAATGTCTTTTGCCTAGTATTTGTTAATGTACTACTTCATATGGCATTGGCTTATCGGAATTGAAAGAGCTCCTTCCCTGACATCTAAGAACATTAAGCTACTTACGGAGGAGAAATTTACTATATTGGGACAGTTCATAACATTTTTTGGTTTTGTCTCGCAGAAATTGTCTTAATACCACAGAAGCTCAGAGTAATTTAAGTGGGGGAGAGAACCGCGTGCAAGTCCTGAAGACAGTGCCAGTTAACCTGTCCTTGAACCAAGATCATTTGGAGTCATCCAAAAGGGAATACAACACAAATGTGTCTGGGAGCTCAACACCCATCACAGGGACTGGAGTGACTGTGGTTAAAGCAGAGGAGTTCACCCCTGTTTTTATGACCCCACAAGCACACTATGCAAGAGGTGAAAATGAGGAGCACCGAGGGGTTATCTTTGAACCATATGAAGTGTCCAGCATTGCTCCCCACACAAATTATCTCAAAGATGACCAGCGCAGTACTCCAGACAGTACATACAGTGACACCTTCAAAGACGGAGGAACAGAAGTAAGTTTTTCACCTTAAATTAGCATCTAAGAACTCAATAAAAAAGCTGTAAACAAGATAAGGATATTTGAGCTTGTAAGCAAGATAAGGAGATTTGAGCTGTCCGCAAGAGCCATTAGAATAACAGTGATGCTTGTTTCAACAAACTCATCTCTGCTTCTTGTGGTGTTTCTGTCAGTCTGTGCTCTGATGATAGGGGAGCATCGTGAGGCATTTCAGAAGACCGTTTTAAAGTTGTTTTTCGAAACTCTGAGAATAATACACACTGATCTTTTGTTTTCTGGGATGTTGTGTCAAGTAGAGGATAGTTGTCATCCTGAAAGAAGATTTGTTTTCTGTTAACAAGATCTGCCTTCAGACTTACTCATAACAGTAAGAAATATCAGCCACTTTGTAACTGAGAAATTCTTAATGTTCTTCTGAAAGTGCAAATGAGCAGTGTCAGCTTCTGCTGCTAGGTAAACCCAAGTAATTTATTCAGAAGCTGTCTCTTGCACTAAGCTCTACTCTGCAACATGGGCAAGTGAGAAAAAGTAGTAGAATTAGATGACTAGAATTAGATGACTAGGCAGAGGAAGACCTGGGTGCATGTATATGTAGGGGAATGAGAAGAGAGACAAAGAGCTACCTTGTAACTACTGTACAGTTATGCTGTGGCAAAGTAATTATACAGTCAGCTTTAATATGGTGAGTACCCTCTGGCTGCTTTTACCTGCTGCAGAATAATGCAAACAAGTCAGAAATGCAGAAAGGTAAAAATTATTTAAAGCTGACAGTACCTCTGCAGATAATTGGAGCTGTTAGGTGGTAAAACTCTCCTCAGATTTTCCTCCTCCAACTCTATGAAACTGTAAATGTAACAAAAGTACAAGGCAAGCTACATTAAGGCTTAGTTACTCTGAAAATGTAAGAAATTGACTTTGTGCTTGTGTATGTGTATTCTGGAAAAGTAAATTGTCTTCATACAAGCATCATAGATCAGGATGTCTGGAGGTGAAATCCATTTTCAGATACAGAATGCTTTTAGATCAATTAAATGAATAATTGATGAAGAAATCTAGTTTGCCATTGAAAAATCAGTAAGATCAAATCTTGGTTTAGAAACACTGCTCTGCATTATCAGATCACATCATTTCAGCTATTTTTCGTTGTTACTGGTAAATGGCTTTTTATGGGAGTCCAGTGGTACCGTGCCCATGGCTCTCCCCGGGGTGCTGTAGCTGACTGATTCCATTACACTGGTTTGCTCTGAGGTGCGCTGCTGAGAGCTACCCAAGCAGTCAGTCTGCGCTGTGCAAAGTGCTGTCAAATGTGCAAAGTTGCTTTACTTGGAGGTAAAAAGGTAATTTACATCTATATGTTGGCCTTTCATCCCAACCTCCATGTTATGGTAATTTTTGTTACAATGGTAATATTTTGTTGCCTGTTTTTTAAAATGATTGGTTAATAATGGGCTACGATACTTGTCATCTAGGCTTTCTCTGCAGTCGGTGGAGAAAGAGGCAGTTCAAATCTGATTGCCAAAAGTGGGGGGAAGTTTGCCAGCTGCACTCACTCCTTTCCATCTTCACCCCCTCTACTGACTGTACAGCGAGGCTGAACAACTAACTTTAACTAGGTCCCCATCCGTAGCTGTTAGGTGAGGTGTGTGCCACTGTTGGTGGCCTTCCAGCCCTAAATGCTCACATGCATATGGCACAGGAGCTGGAAGAGCTTTTCCACCCTGCTGCAGACTCACCCAGCCCTTAGTCTGTCCCTTAATTTTTTTTTTTTTCTCAGCTACCCAAATCCCAGGATGTGTTTTGTCCCCACAGTGCTCTGACTGCTTCTCCAGCCATGTGCTGTTGTGGGAGGGTCAGCTGTATGAAGCAGGTGTGGGGAAAGCATAAGGTAAAATGTCAAAACATACCAAAAGAGAAACTTGTGCTAAATTAGTGTTTAAAGTGGAAATACAGTTGTTCTTACTAGTTTTCCTATGCATTTGGTGAGAATGGTTGGATTTGGCTGCAGTAGATTTGATTATATTATACATTATAAACATGTATTTATAAATTGTTTCAAAACGTTTATTGTGTGACTTATTTCTGTTACACTGAAGGAGTGCTGAGTTTTTATAGATCCCTGTGCTGGTGGACACTTTGTTCAACCACTTGCTATGTTCTTCGGATACAATTTTAACAATTGTATAAATATACCTTTCTCATCTTTTTCATATTCTTATTTAGCTGTGATTAATTTATTGGTCCTTTAAAGTATAGACAAAATTTTAGAACCCAGGTAAGTAAATTGAATGTTTTGACAATGTCAACCTCTAGCCTTCATGTAAAATGTGGCTAGCATGTTAATATAGGACCATCTTTATTGTAACATCCCTCAGATGTTAGATTTCTTAGAGTATTTATCTTACCTATTCTACTGCTCATGGATCCTTGACTTTTGGTCTTCAGGAAATATTCCTAACTGGTATATAATACTTTCGCACTTAACTAGTACCTGACTGGATATTCTGGCACAGTTGTGCATACAGTAAAAGTAAAAACTATTTCCAAAATTGCCTGACTTCACACTTCTGGAAACAAAACAGCTTTTAATTATTGCTAACTGGCGATCTCAAAAGAAGTCCTGGAGGTGCAATGTAATGATCCATCAGTGAATCAGAGAGACATCAAGAAAACCATCAGCAAAAGGCAATCCAAGAAGAAGCAGCAAGGCTTATGTAGTAGAGTGTGAATGTGTTCTTTTGCTTAGGAACACAGAGTACAAAACCTTGCTTAGTCTGTGCAAAAAGATTTCATTTTTTTGAATTCCACCTGTTGATGTAATTTTTTTTTTTGATAGATGTGTTTTCATTTTTTAAAAGAGTGACTGTAGGTCTCATTTCATCTGGCAAAGTGTGCATTTTGCTCAAACAGAATCTTGCACTGAAGGTAAAATACTTTCTTAGACTGCATCACCACCCCTATTCAAAATAGACAGTATAGTAATCTAAAGTGTTGTCAGCATTTATTTGTTAGGCCTTAAGGACAGCTGACCACACACATATTTTTTAAAAAAGCAAAAAAACCCCAAAAATTAGGTCTTTAGGAAAACTAGGATTTAATTTGAAAATCTACTTATCTTTGAGGTCCGGTACAATTTTACAGGCTTGTTTTAGAATATATTAATGTGTAGGAGCTTAGTAAGGTAGAATATATTTTTCAGCTACGTTGCTGCAGCTGCTAGGTTAAGAAAACCTCTAAAAGCTTGACATAAATGATTTATCTCTGTCAATTCCAGTGTAAAGACCATGTAGGGTCCACTTCAGTTTTTAGGGATTTTGAGATTTAAATAGCTGATGGTTTCTTCTGAGGGGTACTTAAATAAACATAACTCTACTTTTGTTGATATTTGCATTTTGATTGTATCAAACTATATTTAATTGTTGTTTTTATTTTTCAGAAGTATCGCAGTGTGTCAGTGGGGGCTGAAGAATATATTTATGAACAAACAAGGTATGGCATAGGCTTTGAAATGTGTTGACTGGCATCATGTAGGAATGTATTGAGAGGCTGCCTCCACTCCCCACTCTCCTTTTCATCACCCTGGGGCACCTGCAGGGCTCCCTTGATGCTGCTCAGCATCACTCAACCCTTCTTCTCTTGTGCATGTTAGCTTTCATATCTGACCAGTTTATATCTTCATCTGTTATCTTCCCTCAGCATTTTTTTAAGTTAGTAACTCCTCTGAATCCCCCAGGAGATAAGCAAGATCAAAACTGTTAAGAGAGGTCCCTCAGGTAATGCAGGGCAACTTTGACAGGCAGGTCGTGGAAAATCTTCCCTACCTCTCAGGATGGCAGGGTGCACAAGTCAGATGTCCAGGATGGTTGAACTGGATCCACCAACCTTAGAGAATTCCCATCTTTATTTTTCCCTTTTTTCTAGTTACTCCTAATAGGTTTTCTGGGAAACTATCTCTTTTCACTGCTTGTTGTGGTGCTTTTTGTTTGCCTATAGAATAATATAAATGAAGTATCTATTACAAACCATGTAAAAAACCCTAAGAATTCCAAGAATTTTAAAAAAGTTTCAAAAATTGAAGTTTGAAAGGAATAGTGTCCTCACTAAGTACAGAAAAATGCATGTGTAGAATGGGCAAATACTGCAGAGTCGCTTTAAATAAGAGAGACTCTGACCAGTAAAGTTTATAAGCTGATACTTCATTTCATGCTTGTGAACAGTTCTGTTTATATCTGAGAGGTTACTCTCACTTTAGAAACAGGAACATGCCTACATATTTTTCCTGGAGTAGGCATATGACTGCTTCTGTAGTGGAAGTTCCTTACAGCTTGATCATTTTTCTAAGGAATATTAAAACAATCATTAACTTCAGTGAGCTCAGAACTGAGTCATTATATAGGCAGTACATATGAAACAGATATTTAGCAAAGACTGCTCACTTACTACACTGGATATTTATAAAATTGAATCCTGAAGCATTGGTATTGTTGACAGTTCTTGGACTTTAAGTTTTTCATGCTGTGGCCCAGGTCCACATTAAAACCAAACCTCCAAATGTGCATTAAGAAAAAGGAAATACATCTTTCCTCAGAGTTACCTGGCAGTGATAGGTGCTCAGAAATGAAAACTTCAGATTGAAAGAAAGAAGTGGTGAATATGAAAGTAATTGGAAGCCTGATAGAAGATCCCTTAATGACTACATGAGGCTTCAGTTAAGACTCACGGTGAGATTCAGAATAGTAGTATAACCATTCGAGTGACTGCAGTAAGTTTTAAGGGTAATAATAATCCTCTGGCTAAAGGGCACACTTTGATTGCCAGCTGGGAACAAGAAGAAAATTCCCAAGTGGTACTGCAAAATTGGCCAGGTGCAGTGTATCTGGGATTTGCATTTTTTGACGTCTTTCTGAAACATACAGAATGCCAGGAAACAGAAGACCAGACCGTGGCAGACTGTAGGCAGCTCTGTTAAGACACTGTGTGTCTGACTTTGGTTCATCCTCAGCCCTTCTCAGCACACCTCCTCATTAGGCCTTCTGTCTGGTGAGAGGCTTTGAGGTGCATCTCCCAGGGCCCTCGGCGTGCTTTGGTATGCATCGTGCAGCAGTGCTGCAGCGTGCAACCTGCAGTCCCTTGGCGTGACGCTAAATCTGAGGACGTGCCCCCCCCCCCCACCCCAAAAGCTAAGGGGTGCTTAGTCCACAGGACGAGCATATGCAGCAGGATGGATGCTGGGGCCGCAGCACCAGTGGTTCTGCTCTTCCAGTCCTCTCAGATGGGGACGGACCGCTTGCCGGCGTCGACAGAGCCCCCACGCCCCTTGCACGCAGGACAGAGGGACCCTTCCTGCTGCCTCCCCTCCGTGCGTGAGAGCCTTTGTGTAGGCAGCAGCTGCGTGGTTGGGGAGCGCTGGTACTGCCACCAGTGAGTTGGATACGTGTAGGTTAGTGTTTGCTTCTCACCTTACTTTTGCGTTGATTTGTAACTTTTAAGCAACTAGAAGAATGACTGGATTTCCATTTATAAGCTAAGAAATACTTAGAAATCGTCTTAATTTGGTGGAAGGATTGATACTAAACTCTGAAACTTCTTCCTTTGGATGGAAAGAGAGTAGATCAGGTTATTTTTTTCCTTCTACCTTCTTTTCAAGTGTGGATTTAAATGTTACTATCATTCATGCATTTTAGTGTTTTGTTTTTTTTTTTCCATTAGATAGTTAAAAATATTTTTCTCTTCCCCTTATTTCCATATTGCTATGGCAGTGTTATGATGATGATCCAGAGTATTTGCTTGAACTGGAAAGTTAAGGATACACTGTTGTTTTGGATCAACATATTTGTCCTTTTGGTTCTACTCCAGTATTGCTTAAATACTTTGCTGAATTAGGCCCTTTGTCCCCCATGTCTCCAATTTGTGAGGACACCCTGCAAGTGACTCCTTGCATTAAGTTTCTTGTGGTGACCAAATACAGTTTGAAGAAAAGATTTATTTTGCAAGGTTAACATTATTTTTCATTTAAGAGAATGTGAGAAGCTGCAGGTATAGATTTTATTGGATTATTGTTCAATCCCGTTATTGAAGGAGGAGTCTGGAAAAGGCTTTGTGAGAATTGTGTTCATCTAACAGTTCACTGGTTAATGGAGCTTTAACTTTTCATGGTTTGAGAACTGCTTTAAAGGTGGAAAGTTCTCCTGTGAGGGAAGGCCTTTTCTAATATCTGACTTCCAGCACAAGAGCAAACTCTTTTTCTCTAATTTTTGTCTTTTTCTAAAGGGAGATTACTTGATTGCAGATACAACTAAATGTAGGTACTTTGTTCAGTCTGATTAATTTTGAAAAGAAGGCTTGTAAAAACCTTGATTGCATGTTGTCTTTAAACCGTCCCTTTTGGTTGTATTCCTTCTCTACCCTGTGCTGAAAGTAGCAACTGAACTTTCTGTTCTCCATGTCAATCTTTTGCAACAAGTTTTATTCTGTTTTGTTTTGATTGGTTGTTTTGGTGGTGGTGTGGGGTTTTTTGTTTTGTTTTTTAATATATATTTTTTAAATTTCTCTTTCTGTGACACTTCTAATTTAAATGTCTGTGGAGGTAGCTGATTTCCTGCAAATCATACTGAATTCCTTCCTGGTATTTGACATTCTCACTGTGGGGTACGTAGTCTTGTACTTCATGATGGTTCTTTTCAGAGAAAGTAAAGATGTAGTCTTTGATCCAAGAGACTTACAGTCCAGATAGTTTTATACTTGACTGTCAAATCTGATGAACTTGGAAAAGGAAAATCACATTCTTAAATACCTCTGTGCCTTTTTCCTGGAATTTTATTATTAACGCCTTATGCCTTGCTTATACAATGCATGACATACATAATAAATGGGGACAAAAAGAAAAGGAGAAAGTGATATGGATTTTCTTGGTGTTTCCCTCTGTGTCTTTTCAGCAGCACTTTTCAGTATACGCTAGAAGCTACCAAATCCCTGCGTCAAAAGCAAGGGGAGGGGCCCATGACCTACCTGAATAAAGGACAGTTCTATGCCATCACCCTGAGCGAGACGGGAGACAACAAATGTTTCCGGCATCCCATCAGCAAAGTCAGGGTATAGTCCAATTTCTTTTCTAGATGGGAATGGAGCTCTGCATATAAATGTAGTTATGTTTTTTTGGGGTTTTAATTATCTTTTTTCTTGTGGGAGGGGACAGAACAAGCTTACTCTTATGCCTAATGTAAAAGTGGAAGAGTAATATTGCTAGTGGTCTCAAATATTTTGGGATCCAGTTTTTTCATAATGTGATTTTATGAGTTAATTGTGTACATATCTGCCTTGATTTATGGTTTGGCAGAATGGTAATTGCACAGATACTACACTTGACATTGGTGAACTTATCATTGCCATGATTAAAGAAAAAAATCAGAGAACTGCTACATCTACTATGTAAGTCCATCTTTACTTACCTGTGCATTTCAGCAGCTGCTTTCCAGTGCATTTCGGATAAAATGTGAAGAGTTGAAACCATCCTTTGTGACATAAATTTTAAACCACTTACATCTTACAAGTATAAGCTTTCACTTGATATTTACCCAGAAATATGACCAAGTGGAAAATTTGCATCTTAGATTCTGCACGTAGAACTGGAATTTGGGTATTCAGCAACATCTGCTCTGTGAACAGGCCTCTTGATTTCCCTGGTAATGTTTTTGAGTAAGCAAATCCTAACCCAGTAACCTTGGAATGAACAATGAGCCTCAGAGTTGCTGCCCTGCACATTTCACCCTGAAGCTGGAAAGGCTGCATATGTATGAGGCTGCAAAAGTGTTTTCACCCAAATAAATGAAGTACCTTAAAAATATTGCAACTTTAGTCAAAGGAACCAATGAAAGTCAATGTGAGCAGTGAAGCGGACAACAACCTATATGTTTCTATCATACATGAAGTTTAGAGAAACTCTTCCTAAAGAGAGGCAATGATTTGTAAACCTGAATAGAGTTAATTTTTAGCCTGGTTTCCTAAGGACATGAAGGTGATGATGGCGTTTCGTTGTTGGCTGAAGCTGATTTAGGACTTCTCTGCTGCTGAAAAGTCTCTCTCCCTGCCAGCCACCTGTTCCTTCCCCCTTTGTGGTGCCAGCTCTAGCACTTGTACAGCTGAAACAGGAGTCAGGAGCTCAAAACCAGTCCTCATAAGTCTGATTCACTTCAGAGCCACATGAATTTTGAAGCGGTGGCAGTGGAAGAGTGGAAATTGTAAAGCAGAGATGAGACCATTTCTTCTGGAGGACGTACAGTTTACAGAAGATGGTGAAACCAAATGCAACTTTCGTGATCATGTTCTGCTTGCCAGGCCCCCAGCCAAGTGACTGTTGAATTTATTGCCAATTCTATCCAAACCTGACAGCGTGGTAAGAGGTTTGGAGGTATTAAACCTCTACAAGTTCCATGTAAGTGGTTCACAGAGGAAAAAGATTAATGCTGTTCTTGGTGGAAAAGCTCCAATCTGCTCTACCAGCTCTGGTTCGTGCATCAGCTGGCCAGCTAGCACACACCTGATGGCCCACCAGCATGCATATGTGTAACTCAGGACTCATCCACGGCGTGTACTGCCTTGTGCCCATGCAGTAGCTAGGCATAGAAGACGCACTGATGATGTTTGGCTTTTATAGGTGGAACAGGGAAGGTTACAGAGCACATGAAGGATTATAGTGGTGATCATGAATCAGTCGTGATCCAGCTCCTCACCTTATGAAACAGCTTGTTGGTGTTTTTTATGAGCTCGGTGACTCAGGGTTAAGGAAGAATGCGAACAAAAGAGGATATTTAAAAGTGATTTTTTTCCTCTGTGATATCTTTTCACTGCAGTTTACCTAGTATGAGCATTCCTTCATTGTTTTATGTTTTCAGTTTTGCTTGCCTACAGCAGGGCTTTTTTAGAAAGCCATTATTACTCGTGAAGTTTTTCATGAAGTTTCAATCTGTTTCCTTTGAACCGCACAGTTTAACAAAGAGAATTCAGAACTTGGACTGAAAAACTCAGCAAATCTCAGTAAATAGTCACACTGAGTTTGTCATTAAATACATGTATGCAAGAGTCCTGCTACTGAGAAGGGTATTTGGACTATGTACGCTAAAACTGAAAATGTCCTGCCTTTAGCCAGTGAGCGTAAGCTACATAACAACACATCCCTTTACAGCGTAATGCCATCTTCCAGAATGACAAGGTAATCTGAAGTCCAACATGTGGACTGGACTTGGATCAGAATTGGAACTGGGGATCCTCTGACTTTGAAATGACCACTTTTTCCTCAAGGCAACTTAGACCTTAAATCTAGGAATACGATTAAATTTTATTTGGACTGTCAAGAACATAATCCCAGTTGCCCTGCGTTATTTTAAAACTACATTTCTTCTGCCCTGAAATTTTAAGTGCATTGCAGTATTAACTGGAATAAAAACCAGCAATATTCTTCAACCCAAGTACTGGAGGAGGGTGGTGACTGGATGAGCATTAAAGGCATATGGGAGATTTTAATTTTTGTGTTTCTGACTGTTAATTACACATTAACTAACACAAGTTCCATTGATTTTCTTAGAGCGTGGTCATGGTTGTTTTCAGTGAGGATAAAAACAGAGATGAACAGCTGAAATACTGGAAATACTGGCATTCTCGACAGCACACAGCTAAACAGAGGGTCCTCGATATTGGTAAGTGTAAGAGGATCTCCCAAAGTTTCAGGGAAGATTGCAGAATGTGGAAAGCTCTTGCACCTTGCACAGGGATATGGTGGGATATATTTGGCAATGGCTGCAAGGCTTGCACCATGTTTTTTAGCAGTGGCTTGTCCCTGCTAGGACTGGGCCATGGGGTCTGTGAAGCAGGATGGAGACCATGCAGAACAAATGGTCCTCGGCAGCCACAGAGAAGAGCTGTCCCTTGCATTCGTATTTAATGGTATTCCACCTTCTGCTGCTGGGAAGTTGAGGTCTGCACCTCCTCAGGAGTGGCAGAATGTTTGTTTCCTTTTTTAGTTTTTCAAAGGCTCATCCACTCTTTGATCCAGTAACTGTAGCAGCCCACATAACAGTTATGTTAGTTAATCTGATGTGTATGTGCAGCCTGAGAATGAAGATGCCATCATTATGGTGACTGCAAAGGAGCGCACAGGACTCCTACCCCCCAAGTTTTTGAGTTTTGTCACTGTCAGAGAGAAGTGAGGGAGCAGCGAGCTCTGGTGTGCTGTCCTGAGAGACCTGTTTACCGTTCATCCCATCTAAGGTATTTACAAGCCCATTTCAGCCACAACTGCCCTATCTGCATACTTGGGAGATTTTAGCAGAGGAAGAACATGTACCTGCTGCCAAGGAGCCTGAAGTTGAAATCTGTGGGAGTGTCTAGACATCAAGCGCTTCTGCCCTCCCACGTGCAGTTTACACATGCAGCCATCTGCAGCAGATTCCAGTCAAAGGAGTCGGCGAGACCAAAGCAGACAAAGTCTATCTTGTTTTGACCGCCTGAGGGAACCAAACCATTGAATGGCAGGAATGAGAGGGGGGCAGGGGGGGGGGGGGGGCGCGAAAAAAGCATGGTTACTTGGAGAGAGCACTGCAAGACGTCAGGGGTGATTGAACAGGGTGATCAGGGAATCAATCCGTAAGTGGTCCTACTCATGCAGTGCCTTTTGACTTTCAAATGCTGCAGCCTTCACTGAGGCTGGCATTATTTAAAGTCAAGTGTATTTTGTCAAAGCAGCTCCTCCTGAATCTCCTCTCTGCTTCTTGTCTTATCATCATAGTTCTGGCTGAACTGTTTCCCCAACTTCTTTTTTTTTTTTTTTTTTTGTCCTTTGGGGTGGTAAAGGCAGTAAAATCTACACCCCAGGCCAAATGACTCCTATCATGACACGTTAAAAGAGAGCAAGTATGCCACGTCACAGCTATTTCTGAAGGCTGCCTGTTTTTTTGTGCTAGTCCTTACAAGCTTGCAGTGCTAATGCTCATACCTTTGAAGGTATGTGCTGAGGAGCTCGTTCCACTGCAGTGCCAACACCCTCTGACTCCACCACACTCCTGGTGTACCAGCACATTTCAGTCCCCTTACCTGAACAAGTCAGCTTATGATGCATACTCTGTAAAATAGCACTCTGCAAAACAAGTGCTGTGCATGAGCTGTGTGTTTACCTGTGTTAAAGTGAATGTCTCTTATGTTTCTATTAGTTTGAGATGAAATAGTTCTGTGCTAACTTTAGAGGCACACTGGTGCGTATTTTTTATTTGGACTGCAAATATGTGCAAAGCGCAATGTAGAAAGACTTACTGATACAGCGTTCCCTGTCAGATGTAAGAACTGTAAGAGCACAGTTCACCTCAGTGTTTTCAGAAGGAAGACCTAGATGTTGCTCAGTAGTGTTTTCTTGAGAACAACTAAAATATGGCCTTAGCTCTTACCAATTACAGTGTTTCTGAAGTACATTTCATTTTCTTTGGGACTTACGTTGTGAATATTGGGCTTATTAGGGCAGAATGTCTCCCAGCTACATTTCCCATACAAGCATCAAGCTGCATTTAGCAAAATCTTCCCGTTTTAAAACCAGATGATCTAACTGAGCAACTGCATCTAAATTTGAAGTTGGCTTTGCTTTGGGCAGGAGTAGGGTAGAAATTGAACCAGATAGCTTGGAAGGGACCCCTGGAGGTTAAATTATTCTGTAGCTCTATGAAGATTTCCCTTACAGTAAAAATTCAGATCCTGTAAAGGAATACTGAATTAGTGTCCAGGCCCTGTGTAGTTAGCAGAGAGAATTAGGTGTCTATGAGGGAGATTAGCAAATGCCAGGATACACCATGGATAACCATTTAAACAAGCAGTGAGAGAAGCTTGCTATGGACAGGGGTGTGTATCAGATTTGTCCCATCTTCAGGGGATAGTCTGACAATCTGCTGGTAGCCCCACTTCTCTCTTATTTTGGATTTCACTGCAACTATCAACAGTATGTATAAAGGGTTAATCATGTATTAGGCTCCTTTAAAACTATCTGTGAATAACTGTGAATCTGTGTAACCTGTTCCATAGATGTTTATAATAATTATTATTATTTTAACTCAGAGATGTTTGTAGCATAAGTTTAACGTCTGTGAATCCTTTTTAATTGTTTATGAATGAACTTTTAAGCTAGAGCATGACTTGGTCCTCAGCAGGCAGAGGATCAAATGAATTTGGGATGTTCTAGTTCTGGGGTCCAACTATTCAGCCCCCAGATAGGGGCGATGACCCCAGTGGCACAGGTCTGTGTCTGCCTTCTGGCCTGCAGTTATATTCTGGAGATCAGAGAAAATAGTGACTTGTTCCCTCACTCCAGACACGCAGGGGTCACTGCTTTAATTTGTTTTGTGTGCTGACTGGTGCACCTCCTGGGAGGAAGGATGGTTGAATAGATTAGATGCAGTACTGAGTCTGAAGATGCATTGATATTAATAGGATAAGCATGTACTTACATGTAAGCAAGTCAGTAGTGCTTGAGGAATAAACCTGAGGACTTGACACTTACTAAGCAAGAAGGAAAGGTGTTTTCCATAATTACGTGATGTGCTGTTACGGATTTTTCTGAAGAAGCGGGGAGGCACTTTTAGTGTTTTTACCATGAGTGAGGGGGAAAAAAAAAAGCTGATGCTTCCAAGTGCAGTGACATTGAATCATTAGTTCTTCTTTTTAAAATAACATCAAATAAAGAATACAATACTAGATTGCAGCAAACATTAGCTATTTAGAATCAATACCATAATCTGACAAATACTGGAAGAGGTTCAAACATGGACATAGAGAGTGGGTGTGGAAGCTTTAGATTGCAGTTATTTGTGCTCTAGAGTCTTGCCCATATTTTTTTTTTAGTACAGTTTGCATTATTTATGTGCACAATGGTATGTAATGCATGCAAATTATTAGTGTTTAATGTTGAAATTTGCCATTGTTTAATATGCAGTTTACCCCAGAAAAGAGGAAATAATTCCTGTACAGCCATTTTCTTGCATATTGAAGAACCCCAATTTTCTATTTTTGGAAACTCGCAGCAGCAGAGAAAAATTGTAGTCACACAAAGAGCTTTCAAATATCGTTGGATATAAATGCTTTCTTATTCAACTGAGGATCCTTCTTTAATTATCTGTAAATTGAGGGGAATAGGATGCACTTCTGCTTTTAAACAGCATGTCACATAGACACTCTGAGATTTGTGGATGGCAATTAAGGAAGTGAAGGCATGTGTTGGGGGAAGGGAAGAGTTGGTGGGATGTGAGGTTCTGACAGCCTTTTAGGAGAAGAAAACATGTGTCTTTGCAAGACATCTTGTTCATGTCTTTCCAAAGTGCACCTACACAGCACGCCCATATGCAGCAGTCAGTTGCACGAGGCACTTTCTGGTGAATCATAAATTTAAGGGGTGGGTGGATGTGTGCACATGCATATTAAACTACTTATGTGTCTTCTAATTCCTCTCATTTGCATCCCCACTCTGAATTTAGATACCGAAGCCAATGACTTAAGTTAGAAAGGAGATCTGAGTTCATGACAGGAATGATAAGCCTGCCTGCCCTTTCAAACACCATGCTCACTTGCTGCATCACTGAATATCTTGTGCTGTTCCTATGGTCAGAACAATGAATTTCTTACTGTATTCAAAATCATTCATGTATCCCAGGCATACAGTTTCAATTGCCCAGAGAAATGCCTGCGTCCCTGTCTTTCAGATGAGAGAAAAGTATATTGATTGCATGTCTCAAATGTTAAATAATTCTCCTTGCAGCAATGGTTTTGTTATCAATGATTTTAAAACAGTTACTACCTAGAAATTATTTTTGAGAGACCAACAGTTTATTTTTGGAAAGGCAAAGGAAATGAGTATTGAAACCATTTGGGTGTCTCATTTATAAAACACAAAAGCATCCTCTTTCTATAACTGATTAAAAAGCTAAGAAACAGTGTGCTTCTGAAGCACAGATTTGGGCAGAGGGTTAGATCAAGATTGCTGCATGACCTAATCTCAGTCCTCTGGCACCGAGTCCAATTACAGCCCTCGAGGGATTCTAAGGAAATGTATATGTCCCAGAGAGAGTTGATGCATTTTCGTGAGCAATCTGGAAGTTCCTTTAATCAAGCAGGTATTGCCTCCTTACAAACCTGGTCTTTCTCTTAATCTGACATCAAAACAAAGAAAGCATGTTAAACTGGCTAACAAAGGGAGAAAAAAGGGAGCATTTTACCCTTTTTGATTATAAAGACGACCTGGAAGGTGTCTGTTCACTCTTACTGTTTTGGGGGGAGGGTTGGATCATCTTTGAAATTTGGACTTCCTCCCTCTTGCTTTGCATTTCTTCTGAAATGCTAGTTTATTGATACCAACAGCCATTTGGAAAGAAGTGAGAAGAGGGTGCAGATACTGTAGTTGGACAATTTAAAAATACTTTGTTTGCTATTTTAGTATCGTACACACTTTGGAGAAAAGGTCTTTGTGTCTTTGGTTCTTTGTTTAGTGGTGGTATTTTTGTTTTGTGGGTTTTTTCCTTTTTTATTTATTTATTAAAAAAAAAAAAAATCCATCATCCAGTGCAGTAATTCCTGGGAAAGGTGAAACGGCTGGGCAAGAAATTTACACTACTGGTTATTTCCTCCAGTGATAACTCTTAGCCTTTTAGAAGGCTTCCTTAGGATTTATCATGATGTTGTTTGTTTATGTGAAGGTCTGAACAGACCCTTTAAATGTTTCAATAGCTTTTAGTTAATTTTCCAGTTTTGGCCATTCCTTGGCCAAACTAATGAATGCACCCACTCATTCCTGCTACCGTCACCCTGATTCCTTTTTGAGAGCAAGCAGTATTTTGCAAGAACATTAGCTAGTGAAGTATTATGCATGAGACTCAAGCTGAAGTACATTATTTCTTTGCAATTAAGATTATTAATAATTCAACATAAACAATACAGGAGGTAGTTTTGATGCATTAGACAACCCAGCTGAAAAAGCAAAGATGTACTATGAATTGTAAAAGAGAAAGTTCAAGCCTTTTCATGAGTCTTTTGTTTGTTTGCTATTTTTTACAGCTGATTACAAGGAGAGTTTTAATACCATTGGGAATATTGAAGAAATCGCATTCAATGCTGTGTCCTTTACTTGGGATGTCAATGAGGAAGCAAAGGTGAGGAAAAGCCATGCAGATGGTATTCCTTTATAAGTACCATCCATCCTTAGTCACTGTTCTACTTCTTTCCTCTTTCCTCATTCACAAAACATAAGCAGGGTAGATGGAGGTGAGAGAGCTCAGCCTCTGTAAAGCCAGGCAAACTGTGGTCTTTCATTGACCCTAGGGATTCTGGCCATCTGTAAAAGACAAGATGGTATGTAACGGCTTTTGGGATGATACTGGATTCACACCTATATCACTGACAAATAGAAATGTAGTTTTGAGGAAAACCTGGGGGATTTTCACAGTGTAGTTTCTTACTTGTGGCCTCTCAGTGATTTTCCATTTAAAATATGTCAAGCCTGAGAAACAGTAGAAGTTTTTTTCCTTCTTGCAAAGTCAGTGTAGGACACAAGGTGAATGTTTTCTTTCTCTAAATTACCAAGTTCTTTTCTACACTATTAACAACTCCAATAATCAATATTCTGTAAGCTAGACTATACCTTCCTTTGTGTTTGTGCTGTTATTTTTTTATAGTATTGCACAGACTGTCCTTGCAATTGAGAATCAATGTATTTTTGAGGACTGGTGCATTCTGTCTTTTTTTTTTTTTTTTTTTTTTTAAAATGGTCAAGTACCCTCAGACATGGGGTTTTGCATTCAGGGATGTGTCTGCAACAGTGGACCTATAAACCAAGACAGCACAGCACCTTTACAAGTTTCTTATAGATACGGTTATCCAAAGGGTGGCAGAGTGTTTCAGCTGCCTGGACTAGTGTAAGAGAAATGAAAAGCTGCCGGTAATTATAAGAAGAAGTTGGCCCCTGGAAAGCAAACAACAAGGGAAACAGGCTGTGTAATATGAGTGGGGGTAATGTGGGACTCTTGGGGATGTAGAAATAATAAGCAGCAAATACTGTTGAGCTTAGCGAACTCCTGATACTGATTTTGTGTTGAACATAAAATGCCCAATGTTCAAGTAATGCTAAGGATCTTTCAAAAACAGACACATCTTCTTGGACAATTCCCCACTGTATTTCTAACAGAGCATTAGAGAGATTACATCGAGTGAGTCCTGTGAGAGATTGCATTGAGCACGAAGTGGTAGCATTAACATTCACTGTCGTGACTGGCTGGCTGAAGGTGCTGAGCTTTGTAGTAACAGGGATTTTCATCTCTGATGCATATTTTAAAAGAATAGAATGCTAACGAAAATACAATAGTTCTGAAAAGCACCTAGCTCTTTCAAAAGCTGGCCTTGGTAAACAGAGTTGTACTTGGCCCAGTTGCTAATGGTGCTATATTTACTCAAGTAATGATTACATTCTCACCACCCCAGATACTCCCCTATTACGTGATTCCATTTCAAAATACAGTGGTATGTAGTCCTCTGTGGTCACAGCAGATGACCATTGTATGCGTGTGATTGTTATGCAAGCAAATGCAGCAAATACAGGTTTGGGATCTCCAACAGAACGGACATTCCCAAGGACCTTTACCAGAAGCACTACCAGGGCTGGAGCATGGCAGTCTCATCCCACCAGCAGCTACCATTGCCAGGACTGGCAGTTCTTTAACAGATTTGCAGCTGCAAGCCAGGCTTAGCAAGACACCATACTGATCTAGGAGCAAGAAAGTCACATCCACTAATGTCAGGTGTTGTCCTCAGCCATTTTGTTCTAATGTCACGCCCTTCACATTGCTCTTGCCTTAGATGCTGGAACATTAAGAACACAACTTTTGCAATGATCACTGGAAATATAACATAGTAAGATTTAAAAATAATGATTCTGTTATTGTTGCTGGATTTAAAAAGTGCTAGGAGTGAAATTTAAGAAAGCCGTTTGTATTTCTGCAGGAAGTAGTCATTAAAATGCAAATTGGCTTATACATATTTATTTTGGGAGATAGCTATCAAATCTCTGATCTTTTAGGATCTTGAACTGCAAATGTATTGATAAAAGTAAGAGGATTCATAACATGCTTTGGCATTGGGCTATCAAGAGTAAATCAAGTTGTACCTGAAAGCTTATCAGCATGCACTAAAATGTTTCCCTTCCTGCGCACACGTACATGTACCCACATGCTTGCTCCTGCTGGAGAGTCTGATACAATAACCAGTTGCGCTGAGTCTGGGGATTCCCGTAGAATGCCCCGGCGGTGGTTGAAAGCTGTGGACTCTGAGTACGTCACTGAAGGCTGTTTTTTCTCCAGCAATTACCTCATCCAAGAGAGATGAAGAATTTCAAGGCCTAATTACAGACTCTCTTTTCTTAAGCTTTTTGAACGATGATCTTTCAGCTGGCTCCATTGTTTCTGCTCAGTGTTGTTTTCCCTTTTCACCACAATTTCAAGATTAAAACTTAACCTCAGAGGCACAAAGACTTTTCTCTTCTGAGTCTGACAGAAGTGGCACAGAGCAGTTCTTTCCAGGGCCTCTGAGATGTGATGCGATGAAGCGCTCTACTGGCCCGGGAAGAAATAAAGGAAACAGAGCAGTCGTTGGGAGTGCACAGGGGAGTGATCTTTAAAAATCAAACAGAAGAAGCAGAAATCACCTAACCAAATATCCCTGTCTCTCCTGGGAGACTAAATCCTGCATCTAGGAAGGAAGACTTATCTGGAACATCAGATTTCTCACTTTCCTACTCCACCTGGAGGGCAGCTGATTTAAAGCCAGATTTCTCCTCCCACATACAAGCAGAGCAGTACCCTCCTCCTGGAAGCCCTTCAGGATGAGGGTATAACAGTGAGGGTTTGACAGCCAGAATCTGCCTGCTAACAGTGAGCCTGCAAAGGGTTTGTAAGGCAGCATCTTCGTTAGATCTTGTGTGGAAGAAACAGGCATTCAGAGTGTACAGGCAGAGGCCTCTCTTCATCGCCTCAGTAATATGAAGGGAACTGGGTTGGGTGTTGGCTCCAGCTCCCTGTGCTCTGTCCCTTGTCTTCCAAGTGCTGCTTGATGAACAAATCAGTGGCAAAGGGGATCTTGTACAGCACGTGTTGAGCTGTGGAATAATCTCACTTTCTGTGGACCAAGGGAACAGGACCAGTCAGAAACACTATGCTGCTGGTGTTTCCTCTGCTGTATCTGATCGACAACAGCAGTCCTTTTGCCTTCTGGCAGAGCAGAGTTGGGCCTGGCACACTCTTTCTTTTTTCTAAAACAACATCCTTTTCTGCTGGGGCGGTTGTCTAGAGGTCATCGTGGCGCTTGTGGTTCAGAGCTGGATACAGGGAAATGAGGGGAAGGGTCTACAGCCACATCACACTCTTCCTTATGCTTCCTTGAGACAAAAATACTGTGCAGTAAGGAAGCAGAGGTAGGAATTGAAGAAGACTTTTTATACAGTCCATTTTTATTTCCCTCCCATATTTACTTCTATGTGTAAATACACAACGTTTATGGGCAAGGTGATTTGTTGGCTCCCTTTGGTTGAACCTGAATGCTACATTTGGTATTTTTAAAGGAGTTCTTTAAAAAAAGGTGAGGAAACAAACAGCAATTAACAAGAACTGGCTGACTTTGCAATGATCTTTTAAAAGTCTTTTTGTGATATACTAGAAGGTAGGCAGTTGCCTTGCTGTTGCCCTACAGAAGATTTTGCTTCAGTATCTGGCTGGTTGACAAAGTTCTAGTGGAGGCTTTTGAACAGAGAGCTCAGCTTAATTTTTAATAGACAAACATCTGCCTGCTTGCAGTCTTATTGCTGGTAGAAGTTAGTCTGCAAGAAAGATAATTAAGAACCAGAAGTCTGGTCAAAAGAGAAGATCTTGATCATAAATTATACCAACTCTTGGAGATATGCCTTCTCTCTACTTTGCTAATTTAAAATGGTTAGGATGGTTCTACTTCTGAAACTATATTAATTTTATATTTTTATGGAAAGTACTTTTTAACCTTAAATTCAAAGGTATGACTTCAGTGAACACTTGCTAAAGAAAAATGTCACGTTAAAGCAGACAAAAAATACTTTTCTGTGATATCATGAAACTACTGATTTCTGCTAAGCACTGCAACTTCGACATGCACTAAACAGACATTTTGGCAGATATGTTATTCATGCAGGTGTTGGCACATGTTTTTTTTGGTGTGTACAGTGTTTATGTGCTGTGCAGTTGTTGTGTATACTTGCATGCAATCATTGTCCTTCTATATTTAACTGAAATGTAGATCTTTAATTCGAAGCATGCTGAAGCCTCTGGGAACCTTTCCAGTTATTTAATGAGTTTTGGCATAGCCCATACAGTAATAAGCTGTTTTCAATGAGTGAGTGATTTGCAGGATTAGGTTCTTTGATATTGTGGGCTAACGTGAGCTATGATTCCAGTAGTCACAATGGTAAATTCAATCTTATAGAGCAGCACAGCGTCTAGAAGTGATTTGTATTGTGACAATCCATTTTTTGTTAATATTGCTAGTGATATTTAGGACAGGTTTTGACTAGTATAAAAATAATTTTATTCTTAATTATTAATTTCCTTCCTAAGTTACATCAAATTTAATTTAATTAGGGAGGAAATTAATATTTTTCTACTCTTAAAATTTTAAAGATTGGAGGAAAAGATACTTAATTTTGGGGAGTTAGTACCAGAAATTATGTAGGATTAGATTTGGCAGCAGCTTTAATAAACCATGTCTGTGTGTACAAGCGTGCATATATATATATATATATATATAAAAAACACACATATATTTATATGTATGTATGTGTGTGTGTGTATCTGCCAGGCATGCACACACACACACATGTATCTATTAAAGAAGAGTTAACCTGTGGTTGCAAATAACGTTGAAATTTCAGTGTATACAAATGGCTTGGTAAGTATGCATCTGAGATTCAAGGCAAATGGCATTTTTATGTAGTTGCCAGGGTGTGGTGTGGGTTGAGGAAGCTTCAAAAGAGTAGTGTAAACATTTGCTGGAGACATTTGTATTGAAATAAAACAAAGGTTTTACCTTTGTATGGGATTTATAAAGTAACGGCTGGCAGGAGAAACTATAAAACCACACT